AGCCTTGGCAGTGTCCTGGGACATCCAGGTCTGCTGTGGCCTTAGCTTTACGCTTTATGGTGGGAATAGGCCCAAGATAGATGGGGCCTCTAGGTCTTGGGCCTCCTCTTTATCAGAGAAACCCACCTCCTTAATCTCCCCCTCTTCTGACTCCGACTCCTCACTAGCCATGGAGGGGGATTCCTCTCTAAGGTCTCTGGAGGTGGAAGCCCTGTGTAGGCTGGAGATAGCTTTGGAGGCTCTGGATCCATGCTGTGATGAGGGCTTTGCGGAGCCAAGCGCTCCCTCAGCAAGCTGCTATGACGGTGGCGGAAGGGGTCTCCTCGTGCTCCGGAGGGATGAGCTGGAGATAGAGGGGGAATAGGGAGCTACCCCCTCTTTGGGAACCATATGGCGAGGTCGTTAGGCCGGGAGGATCCCTTGGGAAGGAGGCCCTGATTGGGGATCGGGATCTGGCCAGGGAAGGACTGATCGTGTCCCTATTTCTCCTGCCTGCCGCCCTGGTTACCTTTATTTCCTCCTTCGAGTGCTCTCTCCTCGATTTGGAGGTGCACTTTCCTGCTGCAGCTCTGCCCCTCTCCGCAGAGTAGGACCCTCTGGAATCCCTATCTCTGAGTCTGTCCCCCTTGGGGAAGCTCTGCCCAGCCCTGCGCTTTTCAAGTTGTCCACCATCGCATTTACTCACTGTTAGACGATCTCCCTTCCTCTCTCGTTCTCCAAAAAAGCCGGTCCGCAGGCTTTCTGAAGGCTCTCTTCCCTCTCGCTCTGCTCTCCGATGCCGCCGATCCGCAGCTCGAGTCAGGACCGGCCCACCACCAGATGCTGGGGCCCTCCCCAATTGCTGGAGAAGCTCAGGCCCAATTCTCTCTTGGACTGGCGGTGTTCGCGGGCACTTGCGATCTCTGTGACCAGAGACCAGAATTACACTCCGCGCATGCACTCTCTCGCTTCAAGATGGCGACCATAGACCACGCAGTCCGATCATGTGCTCCACTCTCTTCCTGCTTGCTTGTAGATCCTCTGGAGCAGCCTGTGCTCAAGCCGCGCTGTGTGCGCCGGGCCTGGGATCCCCAGCTTCTTCGCCGGGCCACTGCTTGGGCCTTTCAGAAGCGCTACCGCTCCTGTGCCAGGCCTCATGGAGCGCACAAGAGGAGGATCATCCGAAGCCAAAAAAAGAAAACTTCTTCAGGTAAAAACTCCAAAGGAAAAAGCCAAAATGGAAAGAACAAGGGAAAAAGGGGAAAATATTTCGCGCCAAGGAGAGCCAGGTATTTAGCTCCTTCTGGGCCGAAGACTGAGGTTAATCTGGAGAGTCAGCGGAGGGATAGAGGTGTAGCCTCAAGATTTACCTCAGTCTTAGGTTGTGGGGGGTCGGGGGGTCGGGTGGGGGGGGAGGGATATATCAGGTTAGATAAGATGTGTTAGATTTCAATGTAATTTGACTCCACATGTATACTGGTTTTTTTTTTACTTTTTCTTTAAAAAGAGGATAGGCCAAGTATATTGACATGCAGCGGAAATACACCAAGGAGAGGAGAAGTGGGAAAGAAGAAAGATGGGCAGAGAGGGATGGGAGAGAGGGTNGATAGATAGATAGATAGATAGATGTAGATATATCTAAACATGTATAATTCCACGCAGATTTAAGCAAAATGTATAATTCAAAATAAAAGTTATTAGTTTTAACTCCAACAAGGCAACAGAGTACAAAAGAAAAAAAGATGCTAGAAAATTAGAAACTCTGACAAGTTTTAAAATGTGGCTACAACTAAAAGTGGCACATTCAAATAATTTAACATACATTTCTCTCTCTTCCTCTAGTTGTTTGCTCAGTTCTGTAGCTTTGAGGTTCAACTCTGTGTACTGTTTTCTTTGCTGCTCTAGTTCTTGAAGAGCCTTTTCTTTTTGCCCCAAAACTTCATAAAGATCAGTTTCAAGTTTCTGTAATGATAATTTTTAGAAAGCAAATAATCACAACAAAACATTAATTATATAATGATAACGGAAACCTTAACCCTCTTTGGCTTTACTTATCTTCTCTCAACAAATATGAATATGGAGTCAAAACATTTCGTTCTGCATGGGTCAAACTGGCCTCAGTAAAGTCTAAAGCAATAAGAATTCTTATCCTATCCTCCTCCAAATTTTCAGAGTGCTATCCTTATATCTAGTCATCTCTTCTGGGTAAACATTTAGTTATAAATATGTCAAAAGCAACACCTATTGACAATGACTACAAAATATGACCAAACACTCAAATTGCACAGTATTAAAAAAAAACATTTTGCATAAAATTATTAAGTTAAAAAAAGTCATTTCACCAATCAGTCCTTTAGTTCATGAAGAAAACTACAACAGGTTCACTGAAACTAATTTCTGCAGTTAACTGTAATTATAGAAACATAGCTTTGACTGCTAATACTGCCTACTTATTTATTAATATGCTACAATATATTGGCAAGTTTGATCTTTGAATTTGAAACAAAATCCAAATGGAGAATGTACTTAATGGACAGGATCAAGGCTGACCACAATTGTTATATGCTTATCTCCTGTAAACTTTTGAAGAACCTCAAAACTGAATGTGCTAGCAGCAATCATTTTCCTTTCTTCTGAGACTGATTTCATTTGCAGTGGATAATTCTGAAGACTAATTTTTTAGCCCCAAATCTAATCTTTAGATTTTTTTATTTTAATTATTGTAGATTACTAATATCCTTTAACATTTTATTTATTTCATTTCTAATCTAATTTTATAACTTAGCTCTATTATTAGTTTCATTTATTTATTGTTATTCTCTATTTTGCAGAGTTGTACTTGCATTCATTGCTTTTTTATTGTTTTTGTCATTACTGGATTGTGCATGCATGCATGCTTGTTTGCATCACAGAAATATCATTTAAATGTACAAATTTCAAACAAAGCAATCTTTGCTTTCTTGCACTTCAATTTTTTTGTCCAAGTAGTTGCTGATACTTTTTTGCAATTTCAAATCTCATAATTTAATTGTTTTTCCAATGTTTTAACTTCAATGTCTGTAAAAACTTTTTTCCTGATTGTAAAGTTTCTCTATGAAGTTGATCAATGTATGATTATGTATAGAAATCTGTTTTCTAGTTTTCCTCACCCACTAACAGTTACAATAGTAATAGTAGTATCAATTATTACTATGCTTACAAACTGTCAGTTGGTCTTACCTGAACTGCATGTCTCGAAGGATGGTGTGGGAGCAGTCACAGCTGGGTACTGTCACGGCCCATCTGCCCAGAGACTGAGGTAAATCTTGAGGCCATACCTCTACCCGTCCCCCGACTCTCCAGATTAACCGATGATCCAGTCAAGGCATCTCTAGAAGGAAGGGGACAGGGTAACACCCCCCCCTCCCTTCCTGGTCCCTGACTGATCGGTAGCTCTCTCTCAGGCTCACCCTGCGCAGGGCGCACTACGGGTGGAAAGTGACTGCTCCCATGCCATCCTTCGAGACATGCAGTTCAGGTAAGACCAACTGACAGTCTCCGAAGTGGGGCGTGGGAGGAGTCACATCTGGCACCTACCAAAGCTAGGGGTCCCTGGGAGGGTCCCTGGGGCCTGAGTCCCCCCAAGTATCCAGCACTCTCTGGAGGACTCTCCTCCCAAAGGACGCGTCCGCGGAGGCAAAGGCGTCCAGTCTATAGTGTCTGATGAACGACGAGGGCGAAGCCCACACTGCCGCCCTGCAAATGTCTTCGATGGAGGCCTGAGTGGCCCAGGCCGCCGAAGTAGCTGCAGTCCTGGTGGAGTGTGCGGTGATGCCCTCAGGCACCTGCAATCCCCATGCCTCATAGGCCTTGGAGATGGCTAGCCTGATCCATCTACTGATGGTGGCTTGGGAGACTTTCGCTCCCCTGGTTCCCAGGTGGTAAGAGACGAAAAGGGCCTCTGACCGCCTGATGAGCAATGTGCGCTTCAGGTAGATACGCAGTGCCCTCCGGACATCCAGGTGATGCCAGGACTTCTCCCTTCCGCTGGTGGGAACTGGACAAAAATTCGGGAGAATAATCTCCTGAGCCCTATGAAAGGGAGAATTAATTTTTGGCACGAAAGCCGGGGCAAGTCTCAGGACCACCCTGTTACTGTGGAATATGCAGAGATCCACCCTGCGTTAATCTCTGACACCCTCCTGGCTGAGGTAATAGTCACAAGGAACACCACCTTGAGCATGAGCAGTGAAGATTCACCTCCCTTAGAGACTCGAAGTGTGCTTTCAGGAGAGCCTGGAGCACTGTAGGCAGGTCCCACGAGGGGAAACGGTGAATCACCAGGAGTCTGAGGTTGGTTGCATCCCTGAAGAACTGTTTGATGATGGGAAGTTGGGGCAATGACTGTGTGCCCACTCCCCCTAGGATGGTGGCCAGGGCTGAGACCTGCCTTCTGAGGGTGCTAGGGGCCAGGCCCTTCTCCAGGCCATCCTGGAGGAAGTCCAGGACCTGCGGAACCGTGGCCGCTGTCAGATGTACCTGAGCCGAGTGGCACCAGGCCGCAAAGGAGACCCAGGTCACATCATAGATGCGAGTGGTGGATCTCCTTCTGGCCACCTCTATGGTTCCTATGACCTTGGTGGAAATCTGGGCCTCTCTTAACTATGTCCGCTCAATCTCCAGACGGTCAATTGGAGCCAGTCTGGGTCTAGGTGAAGCAGACTCCCCTGGATAAGGGCTACCTCCCCCTGAGGGATCCTTCAATGGGGGGCAATAGATAGCTCTATCAGATCTGCGAACCAGGGGCATCGGGGCCAGTATGAAGCCACCAGAATTACCTCTGCCCTCTCTAATACCAGCTTCCTGAGCACCCTGGGTAGGAGAGGGAGGGAGGAAAGACTATTGTGTCTTTACCGAAGACCTGACAGCCACGGGCATCGCAGGGAGTCGTTGTCCATCGCTTCCTGTGTCTGGAACTGCGCTATGAATCTCGGGAGTTGGCCGTTCGTCGGGGAGGTGAAGAGATCCACCGATGGTCTTCCGAACCTCTGGCAGATTTGGCTGAAGATGCTGGGATGAAGTTGCCACTCTCTGTGGTCACCAGGCGGACTGGCTCAGCAGGAAGACGGTAGACCACTGAGAGCTCTGGAAGAATATCTTACCGCATCCAGTGTGGCGTCCGCTGAGAATTGGGTGGCCGCCATCACCCTTGTGATGTCCTGCAAGAGTCTGACGTCCGAAGCCAGGCTTCTGTCACGGAGCTGTTCCAACCACATTAAGGTAGACCTATTAAAAAAGGAGGCTGCTGTGGCAGCCCTGATTGCCCACGATACCACCTGGAACGTCCTGTGCATGATTATTTCCACCTTCCTGTCCTCTGGTTTCAGGCAGTTGGAAATGTCTCCTGTCACCACTAGTGAGAAGGATGCCAGGCTTACCACTGGAGTGTCTACTGATGGAACCTGCAAGGCTTGATCAAAGTTCACGTTAATGTTATAAAACCTGAGATCATTGCTCCCAGGTGTTGAAAAGGTTCCTGGTTGGGCCCATTGTGATTTGAGCACCTCTAGAAACAGGTCTGGGTAGGGATTTCCTCCTTCTCCACCTGGTGTCTGTGGAAAGGACCATTCTTGCCTCCCCCACTCTTTCCAGCCTTGGCAGTGTCCTGGGACATCCAGGTCTGCTGTGGCCTTAGCTTTACGCTTTATGGTGGGAATAGGCCCAAGATAGATGGGGCCTCTAGGTCTTGGGCCTCCTCTTTATCAGAGAAACCCACCTCCTTAATCTCCCCCTCTTCTGACTCCGACTCCTCACTAGC